CCCCAGCGATCAGAAGAAGAGCTTATTGGGGAACCGATAAGCATCCGGAATTGATCCTGCGAGAGGTTATACCTGAACATGAGAACGTGTCGGCCACTACGTCACCCGTTTACCCGTCACCTCCCGTGGTCGAATCACAGAGGCTTATTCGCGGAGGTTCGATCGATTCATTGATTCATGAGCTCATATTTGAAACTCAGAAAGGTCTAAGGGATGATGATGAGTTCCTCCATGCGTTCCTGTTAACGTATCCCCTGTTTACCGAGCCAGCTGCTTTGTTTCGTGAATTGCGTCGTTGTGGTAGCATGCAAAGTTCCCTTAGTGATAATGATGAACGAAAGAAATCAAATGCCATCAGCAGAAGACTGATCACCGTTTTAACCACGTGGTGTAAGAGATACGGTCGAGATTTGTCGCGTGATGAGGTGTACAATGAGATGATGGAAACCGTGGAAGTTTTAATAAAGGAAGGGATCGCAGAAGGTGAAGAGTTAAAGAAATTGATGCAGGAGACTCGTGACAACCTGCAAAGCGTCGTGGACGACTATGAGGATGAATCATTGGTTTCTCATAAGGGTCCTCCAACCCCATTTTCCTTGGATCTTTCCAATTTACTTGTCACAGGCTTAACCCCTGCTCTGTTCTTGAAGATGGTCCCAGAGGAATTGGCTCAACAATTGTATATTTATCATTTCCTGGAACTTAAAAAGACAAATCCGAGGCAAGATCTGAAAATTTTCGTTCCGTCAAAACCCCGACCGGATTCACACACAAGAGAGAATCCATTGAACGCCAATCCCTCCGCTCCTCATTTTATAACGAGATTAATATACCATCACATATTAATCTCGACTCAGCAGTCAGCTTATACCAGTCGTCGACCTCTATTATTGACTCAGTGGATAAAGACCGGCGTAGCATGCAAAACGTTATGCGATATGACAGGTTGGATGGCGGTTGCTTCGGCCATTTGTTCACCTGCCATTGTACGTCTAAAGGAAACGTGGCGACGCGTTGATAAGCAGTGGATCAAGATTGTTGTCAAGGATTGGGTTCCAATTTTAGTCACATGTGGCGGTGT